TTTTCAAATAGGAATTATTTTCAAGTTAATTTAAAAAAAGAGCAGACACATTTTCTATTCTAAAGCTGTTACATGCTGTAATCAGTATCATTAAAACATGAGTTAGACTTCCAATATAATAGGAGAGACCTAAAAATAAGCAAATATCTGCTCTTTTGCATGTTAGTACCCTTACAACTCATGAGAAACCTTTCTCCAAAACTGTGGTAAAAGAGTTTCAAAAGTGGAATTTGTTCTGAAACTGTTTCTGGGAAAACTCAAGACCAGGGATTGATACTTCATGAAAAAAAATGTAGGACTTGTGATAAAACATCAGGATCCACTAACAAGGCTCATCACACAGTGCTTTACTTATCTGCTGAGTTATACGTACTACATAAATTTTCTGAATTTAACAACTACCTGCCTGAAAATTGTCACCCAGTAATTAGCAGCTGGCAGACTAGATTTATTTGCATGCTTCTTTTTAAAGTTCAAAGATAAGTGATGAGGCTCATGAGATTTTCTATGAACCACCTTCTTGTTGTGTTCCCTCAAATCACCTTTAATAGAATTAACAAATACACTTCAGAATCCTTGTAAATATTGAGTACATACACAGAAAGAAGGCCAAGAAAAAAATATTTCCTCAACTTATGTGAAGCAATCAAAGAAAGAAATTCTGTGAAAAAACCATTGATATCAAAGAAAGATAGAGCAAATACTATGAAACAATCTGTTATTGAGCTGGTCAGTGAAGGGCAATAATGATATGACTGCTGGGGGAGGGGGGAAGCCTTACACATTTTCAGTCCTATCCCAGGCAGCTGCTTGAGGGATCATGGAATATGTGAACCAGATCATCGTGTTCTCTCCCTGCTATTCTCACAAATACTTTAGCATGTCCTCTCATTAAACAGACATTCATTTTGCCTCTCATCCATGACGTCAACCTCCAGCTCCAAACTGTTAAATTTCAAGGACACAAGGTCTTGTGCACCTTCTCTTATGCTGACCCTCATTCCTACAATAATTCCCCCTTAAATGTCCCAATCTATCTCATAATCCTTCTTAAAAACCCTACTTAAAATGTCTTAAGAAACATTTGGGCAACAGTGTGTGAAGATCAAAGACTACAATATAGACCAATAGTGATCCAGTATTTCCTTACATTTAATCAATTGCTTTTGATTAGCTAATTTTAGCTACTGAGATCTCCAGAGGCATCCTTATTCTTCTGTGTTTCAGTAGCACCTGGTCCTTAGTTTAAATTCTTACTTACTGGCAGTGATGCAAATAAATATTTTGACATACAGATAAGATTTCTAAAGGCTCAAAAACAAACAAGCAAATAAAAAGATAAGAAAATCTAGTATTTCTAAAACTATCTTAATATTCTGAAGGTCTGACATTATTAACAACACTGACTGATGTAACCATTATTGCTGATTTGAAGTCAGTGTTGGAAGAAATGTTTGTACAAATCAAGTGTTCTGATACATGGAGTGGCAGTCTGTGCATATCCAGGAGAAATAAGAAGCTTTTCAGCAAAGTGCAGAGCTTGGATCTTTGGAAAAGGTTTTTGTTATTTATTTCTCTTTAGTAGACCTCTAACGGAGTGACTGGCAATGACATTTTATCTAGTACTAATTGCAGATAAGAGATAAAGGGAGGGAGGGAGGGAGGGAGGGAGGGAGGGAGGACGAGAGGAAGGAAGGAAGACCAGAAGAGAAGGAGCCATGGTGAGCAAGCAAGTGGGAAGAACCTAGAGACAAAACAGTAGTACCAGATCCTGCACAAGCAAGCCTCATTCACAGCTTTTTTGTTATCAAGTAATTCCAATTCAACAGAATCCTGTTCACAGATTCAGAGGATGGGGCTGGGTGCTGAAATTAGGTGCCACCCACAAATACCTAGAGGCCAGAGTGGACAGGTAAATCTGTCCATTGAAATATTGATTCTGATACTGGGACCAGAAAGTCTAATGTAACTCTTGAATGTAACAGTGAGGGAGTAGAGAACCAGGATAATAATAACATATTGAGGTGTTAGAACTATAAAAACAGTGGGCTGAGAAAATATCCTTTCAGAGAGAGACACAGGGACTCGTATACACTAATACACTGATAAAAGTGTTACTGTAGAGTAGTGAGTTGCAACATGTCAGTTGACCCACAGTCATCATCTGTGTACTCAGTCGTGGTTTGTGGCCAAGGCAAAGCAATTCAAAGTAATTCTGCCCTCTTTAAAAGAGGGGAGTTTATCAGCTTGGTATATCAAGAAAAATAAAATGGGAAATTATTTCATTACCATGTAGAAGAATGTTCATGGGGAGAAAATTCTGAGTACCAAATAGCTCCTTAAGCACTGAAAAACTGTAACAATAAGCAATAGCTGGAAGACACAGTATTTTCTTTAGCCAATGGCCTAAAACACCAACAGAAGCAGTGCATTCTCCAAACTATTGAGTCTTGATATCAAGTCTAGATAACTTCTAGGAAGTTCATGTCTTTAGCTTCAGAAAGAGAAGAGCTGAGTCTAATGCACGGTCTGTCAAGCAAAAAGGCCTAGCAGTTTCATTGGGATGGCAAATTTTTAAACCTATTCAGCTAAAGATCAGATAGCACTGCAATCATCTAACCTAGCCCTCTGTATTAAAAAAATATGTAGAATCCAAAGATTCATTGCATGATGACAGTGTCTGTCCTGTTTTCAGGTGGGATACAGTTAATTTTCTTCTTAGTAGCTGGCACAGTGCTGTGTTTTGCATTTAGTATGAGAATAATGATCTACTTGTTGCTAAATAGTGCTTACTCGAAATCAAGGTCCTTAGAGTTCCCCATGCTCTGCCTGCAAGAAGGTGCACAAGAAGCCAGGAAGATGCATAGCTAGGACAGCTGACCTGAACAGGCCAAACTGGTATTCCGTACCATTAAACATTATGTTCAGTATATAAAGTGGGGTTGGCAAGGGAACCAATTGCTGCTTGGGGTTGGGACAGGTATCAGCCAGTGGGTGGGGAGCAATTGTACTGTGTATTGCTTGTTTATCTTGGGTTTTAGTCCTTTCTCTCTTTTTCAATAAAATTATTGTTATTATAATCATTATTATTATAACAATATTTTATTTTGTTTCCAGTAACAAACTGTTCTTAGCTCAACCCACGAGTTTTTTCTTTATTTTTTTGGTTCTCCTCCCCACTGGGCAGAGCAGCAGTGAGAGAGTGGCTGCATGGTACTTAGCTGCAGGCTGGAATTAAACCATGACACAATCTCAGTTTTATATACTCCAATATCAAACTGAAGATGCAACCACTAGAGGCTGCATTGATATGTTACAGATTTGGACTGTACCTGATAGAAGAGCTGCTGCAAAAAGCTAAAATCAAGAAGTACTTGCCTTTCACACCCCAAGTTTTTCATGCCCTTGAAAATATCAAAATAAATATGCCACACTGGAAGATATGGTAGGCAGATTGAGAATGCTAGTGTTTACTAAATTGGGCAGTAGTGTGATAACTGTTGCTCTAAAGCTATCACCATCAGCTGATGCAAAAATGGAGATGTAAGACCACATAAATTTTTAGAAAGAATGAATATTTATACTCAATCTGGTCACAGATATACTTATTAATGATGTGACATACAAATACAGATAAGAAGTTTTAATGCATTAACAGCAGAACAATTTATACCTGTACATGCCCTACTACCTGAAACATGCACAAGTCTTAACAAAGAGAGTGGCAAAATTATATGGGGACAGAAGTTAAAAGCAAAACAACAGTGACAATTTTTTATTGAAGAAAATAAGGAACAATTAGAATGGAAAAACTAGTAAGAGTTAAAAAAAGGAAAGAACATGCAGATAGTCACCGTTCATTCTTCTGATTTACTACAACCTGTTAAATAAACGTGGTTTACAAGCTTCATTATTTATGCTAAAGGACCTAGCAAGGATCACAAAGAGCAGTAATGACTGGGTAGGCCTGCAGTTATTTATTTGGACATTTTACAAAATGCAGCAAAAGAGTACCTGCTCACTCATCTAAATAACCTGGAAAGTTTTAAAACGCAGTAAGAAAGAATCACTTACAGAGAGCTAATAATTGTATCACCAGAATGGAGTGAAAGAACCATGGGAGAGTTTTTGGGCCAAAATACAGACTTCCAGAGCTTTCTGCATGAACAGGCTGGAAGTCCTAAGGGTTTGAGGGCCAAGAGAAAGCAATGGATCATGGATCATGGATCATGTCCCAGGTTCTCAATGCAAGCAGCACTATGCCCGCTCGGTGACACCCTGTCTATGTCCCTTCTGCTGCATCACACGCCACCACTTGCGCTGAGTTTTGCCCTTTTCCCCTCGATTAATCCTTATTCTGAAGAACAAAGTGATATCAGCCCTTCCTCATCGAGTACAAAAAAAGTGTTCTAAGAATTTAGATATAAACGTTACTTAGCCTAAAAGTATTTTTGCAATATTCTCTTGGGAACGACAGCATTTCTCTGCTTTAGCTCCTTCAAAACTAGACAGCGAACTCGTAACACAGATTAAACTGCTGAAATACAGATTATGAGCTGTGAGGGAAGCGACTGTCCATGCACCTGCGGGCAGTCCCGGAGGGCACAGTGCGGAGACCTGTCCTGTGGGCTTCTACCTGCTCCCCCTCGCACCAGGCAGGCACCGCGCCTCACCTTGCCCTGCCCTTGTGTTTTTGCTGTTAAACACGATCTGAACCACACGGCTGGATTTGTCCTGCCTGTCGCCGGGATCACCCAGACGGCGCCTGCCATCTCCTGTCCCCTCGGGGCTCGGGAAGGACGGCGGGAGGGCGGGGGTGGCTGAGGGAGGGGGCCGCCATCTTCTCCGGGCGAGGGCCGGGGGCGAGAGGGCGGCGGCGGGACCGCGGCGGGCGTGCGGGGAAGGCAGCGGGGTCGGGTGGACGTGCCCCCGCCCCGTCTGTGTGTGAGGGAGGGAGTGACGGAGGGAGGGAGGGGGAAAGCGAGAGGGAGAAAGCGAGCGGGAGGGCGGGGTGTAGAGGCAGCTCCTGCTGGGCGTGTGCCCGGCCCCCGGTGCTGCGTGACCGCGCGGGAGGAGCAGGAGGAGGAGTGTGGGTGCGGGGAATTTCCTTGTGTGGCGGCGGAGGAACAACACCGCTCCAGACGGTGGGGCTGCGAGGAGGGCGCTGCCGCCGCCGCCGCCGGTTGCCGAGCGATGTGAGGGGGAGCCCCCCCTGCGCCCTCCCCTCCCTGCCCCCGGAGCCGCCTGCTTTCCCCCTCCCTCCCCTCGCTCATCCCCGCCCCGCCATGCCGGACCAGATCTCCGTGTCGGAATTCGTGTCCGAGACCAATGAGGATTACAAGTCGCCCACCGCCTCCAACTTCACCACCCGGATGGCCCAGTGCAGGAACACGGTGGCGGCCATCGAGGAGGTGAGCCCGGGCGGGGGGCGCGGGGCGCGCAGCCCCCTCCGGCCTGGCTGCAGAGAACAAGGCGCTACCGGCGCTGGCTCCTGCCGCTCCCTCTCCCGCCCGGCCCCGAGCAGCGCCCTCGGCTGCCGCTCGGAGGAAATGGGGCTCGCCGGGGTGGAGAGGGGAAAGAAAAGGAGCGGGGGAAGGGCTGGGGCGCCGCACCCCCGGCCCGCGGGGCTCCCGCTCCGCCCTCCCCGCAGCGCTCGGCGGGGCAGGGGCGCCCCCCGCCCTCAGCCGGGGGAGCCTGAGTCGGCGCTTGTCTCTCCTGGCGCCCGAGGAACCCCGATCCGGGAGGTTCCATCCGTCTTCGTCCTACCTGGGGGGTAACTTGAACTCTGCAGCCTCCCCCGCCACAGCCCCTTCCTTCGCAGCGACACCTGAACCGCCTCGGCCTCGCCAGCTGCCGAGGGGGGCTCGGGCTTTCCCTGTGTGTCCTTTCCCGGTGTCTGTCTGCCTACCTCCCGGCACAGGTGGGATTTAATCCGCTTCCCAGTTCCCGCACACACAGAAATGTAAACGCACTCCCCGCGGGCACACGGTTTAAGGCAGCCTTCCCTGGGGATCCGATCCCCAGGGCCGTGCCCGCCCCTCGGTGCGCGGGATCCCGAGCTCCCCGTTCCCCGCCTCCTCCGGGACGGCCGGGCTGCGGGTGCCTGGCGTGAGCCGCTTTTGTCTCGCCGAGAGCCGGTTGTTTTTCTGTCTTTAAAGATACTCGGAACGTGCCGTTGAATCTGATGGCGAGAGCCCACCCTTCTCCCTCCCGCGGAGGGTGGCTGCGAGCACTCGAGAGAGGGAGTCTATTTTCCCTCCTGTTTCAAATCAGAGGGAAATCTGGGACAGGTCTGAACACAGTGAGAGCACATTCCACATCCCAGTCATACACGCACAATGAAATGAGAAGCGTCTGTGTATCTTGACTCCTCTAGCAGCTTCTCTGAAGTAACTTGTGGGAGGGGGGGAATCTTACTTGTGCTGCAGATTAATTTGCTCCATCTACCTGTTACATCAGTTCTTACAGTGTGTGTTTAGTTGATTTGTTTTGCAGTAAGCATATATTTAAAAAAAGCCTCTTCAGCAAAAAGAATCATGTCAGTAGTTGATGTCCCTTCTTACAAAAGAACTGCCACTAGCAATGGATTATTAACGTGTCTTAAGTGAACAAAACCCAGGTTAGGTCTTTAAACACCCTTTTCAGGATTTTCCTGTTTTGCCAGTTCCCAAAAGCACTAAAGCAAGGAATTGAATTCAAAATAATCTTGTTCCTGAGGTAATTTTCTGCCCTGCAAGCTTGCACTTAAATGCTTGGATTTAATTATGCTTTATTAACCCAATAGTCTTAGGATCAACAATTCTGTAACAGACAACTTCTTCTTGAATATTTATAATAATCATTTTAATTGAAAGGAAGAGCTGCTTAATAATTGATTAACACAAAATCGAAGTTAGCGTAAGCATTTGGGTCAAAAGCAGTTTTGCTAGATTGAGAGATTTTTATTACAGTTCTCAAAAAAATTGATCTCTCTCTAAGTTCCAATTTCTGAAGCTGTATCGTTGCAAAAGTCATATAATTTCTCAGAAAAAAACATACAGAAAAGTTCTTTTTCATGTCTGATTATGCAAAATTTATATGTGATGGCATGAAATTTATAGCGTATCTTAAGGGTTTTTAAAAATTCAACTTACTATGTTGTGTCTTGAAAACAAGATTTTTTTTTCTGTTAGAGGATGATATGCATTTAAATATTTGAATTTTGTGGATTGGTGTTTGGTTTGTAATGGAACTCAATCAAAACGTTAAATCTTTCTTTGTATCTCTGCATATTTCTGTTATTAGATGCTGTCTGCTAGTTTAGGTACAAAAATTGTATTTTATAATAATGATGATAAAGAATGGGCCTCGTGTCTTACAGATCTAAGTAAAGTTTGCAAGGCAGGAGATGAGAGATTGCACTGGCAGTAGTTGTTAAAAGTATTGATCTGTCTGGCGCTTTTGGCAAAATAGCAGCAGTTACTGCCTGTTTGTGCTGCTGTCCTAAAACGTGTTGAAATGACTACTGAATCTTTTTCTTTGTGATTTATCAAGAGCAACAAACACATTTTCATGATTTTAAAATGTTGAAATCTTTTTTCAGACTTAGACTTCTTTGGTTTGGAAATACTCAGGTCCTTGCATGACGTGCCTGGTTTTTCAGGTTAAATGTGATCCTTGGATAAAAAGCTGTCTATAAATTGTGTAATAGAGAAGTCAGGGCTCAGCACTTTTTTTTTTTTTTTTTTTAATGGCTGGGCAAGAAGTAGATTATCAGCTTGTTATGAACTAAGACCTAGTAAAGAATGCATCTCAAAATGTACCAGGAATACACAGAACCTATGCATTTCCAGGGGCACAGGTACTGTGAAGCATTGGTTTCCAGTGCACGCTGCTCTCGTGAAGCAGACAGCACTGTTCTGGGAACTAGGAGCTCTGGCTGTGTGTGACTGAGGGAATGTGTTACTTAAAGCAGTTAATAGGTAAGTTGAAACTGGCTGGCTGCTGACTTTGTGTAGGCACTGATTTTAACAAGCGACTGTAAGAGCTGGTTTATTAACAAGACAGTTAAGGTTTTGTTTCCCAGAATATTGTATACATTTATTAAGTCAACAAATTAACTGGTTAATACTGATACTTAGAGGATGTGTCTTTACTGTTATTCCCAGAAAATCTGATTCTGGAATAAGGTATACAACTGCCTGCATGAAGCCAGCTCTAGTCTCCCAAGCCTGGTGCTCCCCTGGGAGCTGGGGGGGCAGTGCAGAAGCATAGGATGGAGAGGCTACTGTGGCTTGATAGCCTGGACTCCAGCTCTGTGCAAACACAGATATCTGTTTCCACATCCAACTAGGATGTCTTTTGCATTTAACCTTGCTGGCTACCAGTTTTCTAATTCTGTCTTAGTTAATTAGCAGGTATCTAATACTGTCTCAAAACTTTAGTTAATGAGGCCTGGCTTTCAGTGGTGGAGTGGAAGAGGCTTGTTAAGTGAGGAAATCAATAAGATCCTGGACAATTAAAAGTGTATAATTTACCACTGTGTCTCTGTCAGCAATGGTATTGCTGTAAATCTGAGTTTGGATTAACTGACCTCTATCCATTTGACCATATGGTTGATTCTTAGTATCAGTTGAAAATACGTTTAGTTTTACCGTTTTACGTGATTATATACACTGATTACAGACCCTGGATCATGGCCTTTGAGATCACCAGAAGCACCTGCATTGCAGTTTGGGAACTGGTGCCTGTTCAAACTCTTGGAGAAAGAGAATATGATTTTTTGCTGAATCTGATTCTTTGCTCTCAGTAGTGGAAAAGGGATTAGGAAAGGCATGCTTGTGGAACACAAAGTGATTTCAAAGGAAAAGGAATCACATAATTTCTGCATTGTTCTCAGATTAGGATGTTGCTTAGCAAAATGTTGGGAATCTTTAGCTTCTGCTAAAACAAAAGTACAAGTGAGCAGTATATGTCACAGACTCTTACAGGTTACTGTTTAATCTTTACACGTGTGATAGTGACTAAGATTAAACAAGTTTTAATTGAGAGAGTGCAGGGCATGGTCATGTGATTGGGGGAGGGGTTGCTTGAAATCGGTAATCTGGTCTGACAACTGCAGTCCTTTTAGTTGGCTGTTTCTGTTAAAGGTCCCGGGATCTAAAAATGTGTGGTGACCATTTTTAAGCTATGAACACTTAAAAATCTTGGTTTAGTACTGCTGTTGCTTAGAACACACACTTCTCTCTTTTATATGCTATAAGTTAAATAAAATAGTACCTAAACACAATGAAGCCTGCGAAGTGGTCCTAATAGTAGTGATCATTAAAGATTTTTAGGAATCAGTTTAAAGAGTTATTCAATGATTAGAATCCAAGAGGAAAATAGAGTGTAGCATAGGCTGCTCATGTGCTGAAGACATTTCCATCTAAGTCAGGACTTGAGGCGCAAAGTTTACGCACCTTAAACTTCACTGCATGCACAGATTTCCCTATGAAGCGAGGAGAATGGAAACATTGATAGAAGTTTAAAAGGTTAATGAAACACCCTCCCCAACATACTAACTCTTGCCAATGGGGTGAACTTGTTCTTAGAGGTAGACAGGTGTGGTGGAAAGATGTAAAATATACAACCTAGAGAAACAGTATAGTGGTACCAAAGATGGTCTTAGTTTTCTGGGTAGAAATAAATTTCAGTTGTTTATAGTCTATTTAAAAGCCACTCTTCAGAAATCTTTATAAAAGCTGAGAAATTAAAGGCATAACTTGTAATTTCAGATCTCTGCTTGCCTTAGTTTTATAGGTTCCATTCCTATAAATAGAAATTCAATAATTCTGTTATTTTACACTTTAAAAGACTCGACTTTTTTTTTAATTACCATTCCTAGGAATGCAGCATTTCATTTCAGTGTCACATCCTTTTCTTCCTCACTGTCATTTATAACACAAGTGTTTTCTGTCAGAAATGACAACAACTTCTTGCCACCTAAGGCAATCCCACAATTTTCAACTGGCTTGGAGAGGCGTAAGGGAACAATGCTTACTGAGTTTGACTCCCTCTTGTATGGCAAAATTCTGTAATTCTCTCTGTTCACTTTAGTTCTGCAAAGTTAGTGAGGGCAAGAGGTAATAACAGCTTGGTAGGGTGGGGGAATACAAGTGTGGGTACATGGATACATGGATGTGCTTATGTTTTGCTCATTAGGTTTATAGGTCTGGAGCTTTATCTTCCTTTAGTTCATGACTGTGACTTGCATTTAAAAGTTAGGTGAAGAGAATGTTTCTGTATACTTTGAGAAGCAGTAGGAAATGTCATGTTTTGTAGTGCATTTTGGGAAATTTACTACTGTTATTTGTATAATTCTTTTTAATAAAATAGATCTTTGTGCCCACTACAATGTGCTCTTCAGTAGAACATACTTGCACACTTTTCT